TTTGTGGTTGCTTTGAACATTACCTTGTCAAATAGAATCCACATGAAAATAGTTATTGTAAAATCTTCCAATGGAATGTTCTATCACATCTAACTGAACCTATCTTACTCTCTGAATCCAGAGCCTGTTTAGTAATAAATAGAAACTTAAACAACATAATACAGTAAGATATCTGGAACACATCTGTGATTGAATTATCAATCAACAAACAACTCCTTAGATCTTGCATTCATTCATATATACTAATTCTAAAGCTAAGCTAATCAATGGTAAATTATAAGTACCTAGGTCAATCTTTCTGCATGAACAAAACAAACATTTCATTATTATTACAATTATTATACAAAGTAATTATGGTTAACTTTAGCAAGGAGGTTTAGTTTGGTAAAGTTTAAGAAGTTATGAAAACCATTTGTTCTTTACTTTATCCTTTTAGAGCAGTGTTTTCTGCTCCTTACCCCATTATTCTTACATGATTGAGACTATTTTTGGTTGCACTTATTTAATAATAAAAATGGAACAAGGTTGATTTTATTCAGGATAAAAGGAAAAGAAAAGAAAGAAAGAAAGAAAGGAAAGAAAAGAAAAAAGCCTCCTTCAAGGTCTTATTCACTCCTGATGTAGTAAAGGAGTAGCTCTTCAATTTTTTTACATTTTTAGGAAAATTTTAAAACAAGCATTTCTTCTATATTTCTTTCTCATGAGAAAATAAAACTGAAATTAAAAAGTCTGCATATGTACTGCCTGACCAATTTTTTTCTAAATAAAAGATGGCCCATCATTTTTGCTAAAAATTATGACCAAAAGTAGAAACCAGAAGAAAATGTGAACTTAGACATTTGGATTTATGAGTTACAAACAATTACTTCTTCCATTCATCCTCTATAGTCATTTATCATTATCTTCTGATGAAAATATATCTACACTATATACAACAATTATATACAGTATACTAAATAATAATTTCACAGTTTTATTGGCAAACTACTTTAGCTTTAGTAGTGAGTTGTTTATCCAAACAGGTGACTTTTTAAAACTGATTTGTTAGTACTTAATGAGCAAGTATCTTTTAAAAAAGACAGATGTTCTTGTTATATGTTATATGTTTTTGTTCACTGATTGTCTTTAAATAAACATGGCTCCACAAGTGCTTAATCACCAAGAAGTCAATTACTAGTCCTACCTATTTCACCTATTTACCTTCATCCATAATTTCCAGAAAGGTTCTTTATAATCTTTTTAATTGGTAATAGTAGTGTCAATAATATTAATACTAATAAAGATAACAAAATTGATATTAATAATATTAGAAAACACTTATTATCCCAGAAATTCAATAAAAGGGGAAATCAGGTGAGGTTACATAGGTGTATGTTTTTGTAGTAAAAGGTGAATACTCCAAAGTATAAAACAGTAACTTCAGATTATGCAGCAGAAGCTTATAAATCACCAAGTATATAGGAAACATCTAAATCTAATATAAATTCTAGAGGGATTGGTTAAAAGATATTCTGGTTGAGTTACCAAAAATGTTTAAACCTAATATTTATAATTTAATACGGTTTTATTTCTTCTCTTGATATCAGTCATGCAGAACAATTCTAATGTTTCACTGCCATCTCGTGGGCCAAATTACGGGTGTTAGGCCAATCTGACAGGTGTGTGGTGACGAGACTCCATGCCTCCCCTTTGTAGTGTTATTTTCTCTTTTCCTTTATCTTTTCTTGCCATTTTCCAATGTTTCTATCAGTCATTTGATTTGCTTTATCCAGATGGTAAAAGAATGTTTTCCTTACACAGACAACATATCATCTCTCTAAGTAATCCATAACGTAATATTTTGTTATTTGTATCTTTTTTTTTCCTGCACCACCAGTCAGGGCGGCCAGAAATAGGATCTTAAGCATGGAAACAGTGTCATCTCTGGAGCAGGCACTTTTCCAGTCATGACAGTATATTCTACACTTGTTTATCAATTGAAAAAATACTAAAGCCCCTCCCTTAACATTAACTGAGTCTAATCACTCTCCAAGAACTTTGTGAACTTATGGGGGACCATCACCCTCACCCTGGACTTCAGCCAAAATTCTCATAAAGGTGAGCTTGCATCACCACAGCCCACAGCAAAATATTTCCAAGACAGTATGTTTATGTCACCCGCCCCTCAAGCCAAAATTTTTCATGACATGATGGTCACACCATCTGGATCATAGGGGTATCCAATACTGAAGTATTTTTTATCCTTTTTGCATTTTCCACATATGAACACTTATAGCTCTTTTAGCACATGAAAACACGTTTCATAGTGTTATCATCTCTAGTCATAATTAATCTCTTTGCTGATTCTATGAACTGGTAGTACTACCAATAATCTGCCAGACCAAATGACCTGAACCTAAGGCTACATATGTAGTCTTTCTACCTATAACATCCAAACTTACAACATTTTAAAATAAATATCACAATAGCACCTTGTGCTTGTATAACAAACCTGTGGAGT